ATGGCAGCATCTGTGAAGTCAGTATTTTGTGGGAAAAACACGCTAATGCAGTGTTTGGCAACCCAAATGCTAAGAAGAGCCATTTTGTCCCATTACAGCAAAAATCAAACCACTTTGGGAGCCACAACATTTTATATCTATATTATTGGTGTAATGTTTTAATATCTTGGCTGTAAGATCCAGGTAGGGCAGAATGATTTGGGGAAAATATCTAACTGCACTAATATTGTAACAAATTTTTGGTTTGGTTGACTCTGACTGGTGTAACTCATATACAGGCAGTTCACAAACTCTGTGTTACTAGCTTCAATTTTCCCATTTAAAACTTAAAACAATGTTTTTGATAATGCAGCCTGTAATTTAAAAAAAAACTGCAGCTCTTGCAATTTAAAAATCGCAAATATTGATATAAAAACAATTCATCTTTCAGCCCCAGTCTCAGTGTGTGTTAATGTCCTAGTATATCCTTAAAAAAATAACATAAACGAAACTCAGACTTTTTTTGCTCTGCTTTAAGCTTTAGTTCAGCTATAGCCGCTTTTCTCGCATCTCCAGCAGGAAACTTTTCCACAGAAGTAGAACAGTTTCTCGTAAAATGTCTCTCAACGTTCGACTTTTTAGTGTTTGACAGGTTAAACGTATCAGGAAACCAGCTGGAGTGGTTACATGCAAACGAGGCCATGTGTCTCAAAATTCTAAATGTTCATCCTGAATCTTTCTCGTTAGCTACTAGCTAGGCGAGACTGTTGTCTGTGTTGCTATGGTGACCAGCAGTCTGTGCTGATCTTCAGGGTTAAAGGGTGAATTAGCAGTTCTACATTAACTCCAGAGTTTAAGACCATTTATTGTTAAACCGTGTTGAACGATCAGCAGAGCTTTATTTTACTGTAAAGGAGGATTATTTTATTTTTACATACAAATCTAATTGGAGCCGCAACAGAGCAGAAAAAGAGCTGCTCTAACGGGAGCCGCTTTCCTAAACAGTAAGGCGAGGCAAGTTTTACAGCAGCTTTCACACACAGCGGCAATTCAAACAGCTTTACACAAACAGAAAATAATGTGTTACATATTAATACAGCTAATATCGCTCCTGAGAACCAGCAGCTCAGAAAGACTTTCGCAGGATTGTTATAAACACATAAGAAGCTCATAAGAAGTAAGAAACACAATTGCAATTATACTCAAGTCACCCCGAGGGAGGAAGAGCGTCAAAATTTACCACTTCCACCCTTTGAAAAGCAGCCATAACTGAACAAAATCTTACTTGGAAGTAAAACCAACCTCTGAACCATATGAACCAAAAATTTAAATTCAGGAACTAAAAGGTAATGAAATAGCAAATAAACTAAATTGAGGGATTAAAAGACATTAAAACTGTGCTGAGATGAAGTGCAGTGAAAACAAGGGACATCATTACATCCTCAGATCTAGCACTGGTCACTCACCTGCTGCTGTGTGGTCACTCACAGTCGGAGTTAAAGTAAGTCCAGGTTCTTATTGAGGGAGCAAAAGGAACCGCCAGGCTCTCAGCGTAATGTGCCTTTAGCCTTGATTTAGCCTTTAGCACAGCAGCCGGCTAGTAATCTATCAGTCAGCTGCATCACTCAGCAGTGGGGTCTTGTGGCCCGTCTCTTCAACCAAGCCAGAAAAAAACGCTCAAAGTTTTCTGGCAGCATGAACGACGATGATATTTACAAAACAAAGAAGCGCGTAAGTGAGACGTGTGTGAGACAAACAAATCAAGAAATTTGGATGTGAAACAACATTCAGCTCCGGTTTTGAGACAGAGAAGCTGCTGTGCTGATCTGTAAACACCACAGGTTTATCTGAACACTGTTCAGCTCTGTTTATAACTGTTTTATACAATAAAGATATTTTGCTTTTACTTATGTTGTTAAACATGATTCTTATTACTGATTATAGAATAGTAGAATGTATACAGTAAATACACAAAGCAGGTTTTCTTAGGCATCTAATATATTGTAGTCGGAACAAAACGTAGTGCATTTTTTGTTGTTTTTCCATTTTCTGACCTGATTTTAAACAGGCAGTTGTCCTTTATGATGAACGGACCAACAGAAACGGTCCAAAATTACTTGGAAAAAAATATTTCATTCACTTCCATTCAAAGTTAAGAATGTTTTCCTTGTCCTGTAAAATTTCCGAAACCCTGTAGGGTACAAGGTTTTGTTCAGACAGCAGCGATGTATGTATATATATATATATATATATATATATATATATATATATATATATATATATATACATACATACATACGTACTCCAATTTGTAAATACCTAGTAGTCGAGCTGTGTTTTATTTGTGACAAAGAACAGATTTTACCAAAAAACAAAAATACTTTAAAATGCAACTGTATAAACATCAAGACTTATAGGTCAGTTAGGGTGGCCAGAGTTAGTATCGGTATTGGCACATATTTAAGGATCAGGTATCGGTATTGGAAGGGAAAAAGTGGTATCGGTGCCTCTCTATGAATTATGAAGAGTTTATGAATTGTTTAAAATCAGTCTATTGACCTATTATTAATATCATAATACAGTTTTCTGAATCTGTAGAGTCGCCCTTTCCATTCCATCTCATCACGAGATCATACGAGACTCACATCCGGAGTTATGAGCCTATGAAGAGGGGCTGAGATACACGTCATCTGCCTCTCACCGTGTGGAACTGGTGGATTGGTGTGTCCGTCTACATTCTGTGTGAAACTGACCAATGGACACTCAGGAAATCACTAAGGACTGACCATCACGCCGGAAACCCTTCATTCTTCATTCAGTCCACATCGGAGACTCGTGTGAAACGGCGTGCAGAGAGTTTACAGCTGCTGAAGCTGCTGCAGCGGTTTTGGAAAGTAGTGATGAAGATAACGGAGTATTTAGATATGAAACATATGAGGATCATGTTTATATGAAGAGCCTTTAAAGGGGAGTTTAAGAAGAGATGAACAAATCGAGAGAGAATACAACAATTAATAGTTGTATAACACTTTAAAATGATTAATAAGCAGTTATAACACATTAATAAGAAGCAGAAAAAGTAAACCAAGCTGTTACATCTGATGACTATGAATATGAATATGTGATGAAGCTGACTGGTTTAACAGTGACTGATGGAGATCAGTAAACATTAGAATGGGAGGTTTGACAGTGTAGATGAATGTGGGTTCACTATTAGGCAAACAAGTCCCTGTTGCCTTTTTTATTTGTGTGTTAACTGCTTATTAATAATGTTTATGCCTACTTAATAACCATTAATCAACTCATTGTAAACTGTTTATAAACCTTACAATGGTAATCTTATTCTGAAGCAGTACCCAGCTCTCTCTCTCTCTCTCTCTCTCTCTCTCTCTCTCACTCTCTCCCTCCCTCCCTCTCTCTCTCTCTCTCTCTCTCTCTCTCTCTCCCTCCCTCTCTCTCTCTCTCTTTCTCTGAGCAGCACGTGCTCTGGCGCGTCCTCATGCGACGTAAACAAACAGGCAGCAGGAAGACAATCCTGCAAGGCCAAAACAACAAACAAACAAACAAACAAACAAGCTACTCTTATTGTTCTAGCTCACTAATGCAGATATAATGGGCGATCCTAATGTTACATTATCATTGGATTAACGTCAGATTAGCGATAAATGCTAGATTAAAGATGATCGATCACTGAATTATACGTTAGATACGAGGATAAACGATCAATGCAGCAGATAAACGTTCGACTAACGTCAGGGATTAACGTTTGGTCGAGGATGGATTAAGAGTAGAACCACAGATGTTAGGGTTAGTTAACATTAGATTAGGAGTGGAACAACAACCCAGAAAACTGGTTCTTTAGTAAAGGCAATGGTTCTGTTTAGAACCAGGAACACTCAAGGCATGCTTAAATGCCTATTTGTATGGTGAAATGTTCTAGATAGCACCAAAAAGGGTTCTTCTGTCGCTACAAGCTTGACACTCAGACACACTTGATGGTTTCACTCTTGAAGATGGTTCTTTAGTAAAAGCAATGGTTCTGTTTAGAACCATAAATGCTCAAAGAATCCTTTGCATGCTTAAATGCTTCTTTGCATGGTGAAATGTTCTAGGTAGCACCAAAAGGGGTTCTTCTATTGCTACAAGCTTGACTTGTAGCAATAACAGAACCCTCTTTGGTGCTATCTAGAATCATACACAACATATATGTTGTTTATATAGATATGTATCTCTATATCTACACATATATGTATCACAATCAATCTAAAGAACCATTTCACCACGCAGAGAACCACTTAAGCACGCATAGGGTTCTCTGAGTGTTTGTGGTTCAACACAGAACTATTGTCTTCACTAAAGAACCATCTTTTTTTGAGTGTATCAAACCATAACACATTCTCCATCAACATTAAGAACAATTTCACCATGCAGAGAACCCTTTCAGCATGCAAAGCGTTCTTTAAGTGTTCATGGTTCTATGTGTCTTCCTAATTTCAGTGTGTAGGGAAGCCAAAAGACCCACTGCTGTCACAAGCATGGTGCAGAAAACCAACCCATGTGTTTATGCACCAACTAAAAGCTCTCGCGCTGCGTGTTTGTGTCCTCGCGTGCACGTGAAGGCCAGCCAGCGCGAGCATAAGGCAACGCAACGCAACTGCACAAAAATAAAAAACGAATATTGGCGCAAAAACCTCGAAACACTGCGCATATTTTCGGTGCAATTCGGGTCCTTGCGCAAGTTCCCATCCAAACAGGAAGCTAGATTAATCCCAACACACACACACACTGATACACACATTGAACGCACGCACACACACACGCACACGAATATATATGTACATACAGGCGACCGCGCGCGCACACAAACCCTGTTTAATGAAGCTGAAGTCAGTTACTTGTTCGAATTTTCCCGTTCCACCTTAAAAGGTGCAGCAGTTACATTCTGGCTGCTGCACCATTTAAGGTGGAACGGGAAAATTCGAACACGAAGCTGGCGAATAGGAAGCCTCGTCCTTGTTTACCTGCTTGCCCCTGTAAAACAAGCGCTGCTGCTCCGGACTAACGTGGAAAATGTCCTGGATCTTCAGGCGCAGGGACTCGATCTTGGTCAGCCGGGACAAATCCTCCACAGTCCGGGTCTCCTTCCCGTCTATGGTCCGGACCTGGATCCACATCTCCGGGCGTGCAGTTTTTCTGTTTTGTTTTTTGCGCAAAAATGCTCTTCTTTCGGGGGGTTTTGGGGGGGGAAAGAGGGGCAACTCGGTCTCAAAGTGCTCACGGTGCCATGCGTCCACACATACACACACATACATACACGCATATACACACACACTCACTTTCTCGCCGAGAAGAGGCGTTGTTTTTTAATCACACCCGTTTTCCGACAGGTCCCGCCTCTTCCTGCGCGCTGATTGGTTATATAAGTGCACTGGGATTGGCTAGCAGTGAGTAAAAAAACTCACAGCCAATCACAGCGCCGCTGGCTGCGCCGGAGCAGCCAATCAGAGCGCCGAAAGTGGCGGGACCTGGCGGAAAGCTGGTGGGAAATAACAGCCCCAACTCAAATCTCGCGAAATTAAAGCTGAAATGTGCATTTAAAGACACAGGCAGCTGTTTTTGCTTTGCGATTTTCGAATAAGTTGAAGCAAAAAATTGATTTGTTGATATTATTAATAACGACAGTTAGACATTTATAATATACACTTCTAAAAAAAGATGGTTCTTCAAGGGTTCTCTCCCTGCTGAAAAAACAGACCATAAGAACCGTTAGGAGTGAAACCTGATTGGTTTGCTTTTTTTTCTTTTAGAACCATGAGTTCTGTGTGGAACTACATACGTGCTTAAACGGTTCTTTGCATGGTGAAAGACTGATGGAGAACATGTTTAAAAAGCTGGTTCTTCAAGGGTTCTTTAGTAAAGAAAATGGTTCTATGTAGAACCATGAACACAGGATTGAATGGTTCTTTGCATGGGGAAATGGTTCTTCAGATCGATAGAGAAACGTGCAACAGATGCTTATATATATAGAATGAACCTTTCTGAAAATGTGTTCTATACAGCAGCAAAAAGGGTTCTTCTGTTGTTACAATGTCACAACAAAAAAAAAATCATTTTCAAGAAGGTGCTATAAAGAACCCTATACAACACATTCTCAGTCTGAAGAACCATTTCACCATGCACAGAACCATTTAAGTATGAAATAGTTCTGTATAGAGCTAATGGTTCTAAACAGAACCGTTCCCTTTGATAAAGAACCTTTGAAGAGCCATCTTTTTTAAGAGTGTGGTTTATAACTGTAGTTACACATCTATTAAACCCAACTCTCGACGTCATAACAGTGATTTCACAGACATATTTGGTTTTAATATGTATCGCTGATCAGATCTGAAGTGAATTACAAATACATAAAAAAGTTGTGATTAAATTCTAATTCATATTGTATGTGCTCATACAGGCAGAACCTGACCACTGCTGAAGGGCTAGAGCAGGGGTCATCAAATAGATCTGACTTGGGGCTCTAAGGGCTTCACTCATTCACTCCTACATGTGTAGCAGTCTGAAGATTCACCACAAGGGGGAGCTACTAATAACAATGATGCTGGCCACTTTGATTTAACGACTTTTCAGACCTCTTTTATCGATTTCTTTTCCAAATAAGCACATATGTGAATGAGCTGCATATGTGCACCAATATCTTACTAAGTTCCTTCTTAAATTTGCTCTAAAAAAGTCTCCGTCAGATTCATGACGTGTTCTTAAAGTGCAGAACTGTTCTCACCTTTGTGCTCTTGAATGTGTGCAGATTCTGTTCTTACCTAAGAATAAATCCCAAATAAGTAAACAGTGATGAGTCAGAATCTTCGTGAAAACTGTGGGTTTAAGTGGGTTTAAGAAGAAATTTCTTCTTAAGACCGGTTGGTGAACGAGGGCCAATGTTGCCAGTCATTAGTGTTATATAATGATAGCAGCTTTATGGGAATTCAATTGTATTAAAATAGGGTGTATGTGAGCACAGAGAACAGGAGAGAAGCAGCCAGACGTAAAGGGCTGACACCACCTGACACCAGGCGGAAGGCAATTACGATGCAATGATGTCAAAAATATGCTAATTAGCACATGATGTCATCTAGTGGCTTTTCAAACACGGCTTTAGCTACTTTCATAGTTGGCAACACTGAGTGTGTTTACAGGCACTTAAAAATCTGATCATAATCTGATTTTCTGCAGTTATCTGATTATTAAGTGATCGTGTAAACAGCAAACTCTGATTTCTTAGATCAGATTAAGGTCTAGAAATCTGATAAAGAGGCTGGATCTGAGCTCAGTAATGGGGTTTTTCAGTGTGAACTCTTACTCTGATTTCTTTCGTTTCTCTCAGTTTGAGCATGTGTGAAAACAGAGCGTCGTCCCGGAAACAGCGAGCAGCGTTTAACACGGCACCCACGAGACGAGCACAGCACTTTAGGAGCGACGCTGAAACCGACTACACGCTCGATGACATGAGTTTAAATATTAGTCTTCTAGTTGATGTTTATTCGTATTTAGGATGAGCCTCAAGTTACATTTATGTCACGTCTTCTTCTGTGAGTTTATTGGCCGGTTGTAAAGCAGAGATCTGATTACTGCCTGACTCATGTAGACCAGGAGTTTCCCCATTAACTGATTACTCAAGAGCACGAAAACACACTGAACCAGTTACTGACAAAATCTGATTTACTGCACTTATTAGATTATTAAGAGCATGTAAACACACTGACTGATAACCGATTAGTAATCAAGCAGTTTTTGTGTGCACTGCAGTAACACTGATGTAGTGGTGGTGTGTTAGTGTGTGTTGTGCTGGTGTGAGTGGATCAGACACAGCAGTGCTGCTGGAGTTTTTAAACACTGTGTCCACTCACTGTCCACTCTATTAGACACTCCTACCTTGTCAGTCCACCTTGTAGATGTAACGTCAGAGACGATAGCTCATCTGCTGCTGCACTGTTTGTGTTGGTCATCCTCTAGTCCTTCATCAGTGGTCACAGGACGCTGCCCACAGGACGCTGTTGGCTGGATATTTTTGGTTGGTGGACTATTCTCAGTCCAGCAGTGACACTGAGGTGTTTAAAAACTCCAGCAGCACTGCTGTGTCTGATCCACTCAGACCAGCACAACACACACTAACACACCACCACCACGTCAGTGTTACTGCAGTGCTGAGAATGATCCACCACCCAAATAGTACCTGCTCTGTGAGGGTCCATGGGGGTCCTGACCACTGAAGAACAGGGTAACAGAGTATGCAGAGAAACAAATGGACTACAGTCTGTAACTGTAGAACTAAAGAGTGAAACTATATGGTCAGTGGAGCTGATAAAGTGGACAAAAATGCATTTGAATGTATTTATTTATTCTAGAAAAAGTCCTATGTTTCAGATTGGCGTCTAACTACAGGTGTCCACATCTCGCAGCTTCTATTTGGTGTAAACTCATGCTGAATGCTGAATGCAGCCCAGTACTAAAGCGTGTAATGCCACCTAGTGGTTGGCTGCTGAATTTGGAAAAAACTGATTTCATAACCAAGGTCAACGGGTCACATTAAACCTTCCTAATACCAGAAAACAATCATTATTAGTGATTTTTCAAACTTCAGTTTAATTTACTGTCTTTAAAATGTCATATTGTTCTGTCCTATACAGACATCTGATGGCCATATATGGACTCAGACATCTATTTAAAATCACATGTTGTGTAGACATACGTAAGTATCAAATATAATAGTCTTCTATGCATAATATATGGATCATACATATTTGTCTGATTCATGGTTGAATCCATCCCAGTATAGTTATAATTGGTACTATTATTATCTTTTTGCTTTTGAATATCAAACATATATTACACATTAAATATGTCAGGGAACAATATTCCAAATTATTTTCTGTTTTAATTTTGCATGTTTTTAGAGTTTTATTGTGCAATACTTTTCATTTCATTAGGAAGTATTTGTGTCTATCATATAGTGTTAAATATGTCACACATTTATGTTTGTATATGTTGATATATGGCTGAAATATATGTGCCATATTCAAAAATGGCCAATTTCAAATAAGTTGGCATGTATGTCACATATATGTTCATATGTGATTAACGTAAGTTGGATACAAGGGAACTCCATATGTGTTAATATACATCATATTTGAAATCTGTATTTCCATGTATCAGATTTCTGTATGTGACGATGCCAAAACTGGGCTTTCTGCTGACCTACAAATCACAGATCACTAAAACTCAGTAAAGATTGAGCACAGCTTTCAATAACATGTAAAGTTTCCCTCACAAAATGATCAATGTTGACAAAATGCAGGTTTCAAAATAGCTGCTACTGTTTTTAGCTATGCTAACACACATTTGTCCATTTCTATGGATTCACAAAGTGTCAGAAACATCATAAATAAGACAGAGACAACTTAATAGTTTGAGGTAAGTGTGTGAAGAGTTATGCAGTTAGCACCAAGTTAACTTAAAGCTAATACACTTTCTTTACTCGTTAGCTACATTAGTCTTGGAGCTCCTCTGCTAAAACAATAAAGAAGCAAACTAAAGTGAGTGAAAGTCACTAAGTATACATTTAAACATACTCAAGTATATATATATATATATAATGTAAAAATAAATCGTATAAACTTTTCTTTTGTGGCGTGAGGTGAAGTGACTTAGCGAAAGTGGTCCTTAAACAAAGCTACATTAGCATAGCTGTTGCAGCTTCATTTTACACTGATATTAGCTGGATGTTTAAATATAAACAAAGTCAAATTAGAAAAAAAATCAGGTCTTTAAGAGTACTTCGAAGGTATATATAGACATAAAGAGCAAAAATTATGTTTTTTCCCCTCATGGAAATGTTATTCAGTAGTACGAGTATTAATTTAAACAACACTCAAGTAATAATCTACCAAAGTAATACTTTAGTAGCAAAAATAATCAAGTGTAAAAAAACTATGTACTAAATGTTTAATTAAATTGTTATTCCTTAATACACCACAAATGTCCTCACTGCGTCACTGGCTATGGGTCTTGTTCATTGAAATATCTTATTATAGGTTGGCCAATATGACTATATCATTATTGTGACTGCATGTTTCATTATAGAGAGCAAAATTGGTCCCGTTTAACTGGATTTAGCACAACAGTATGCAAAATATTGACTAAAAATTGTTGCATTCGTATATTTATAGCATTTTTCTGTTCTAACTGATCAGCTATCTATAAAAATTAACACTGAGACATCAGGAAAGTTTCATGAAGCATAGCAATATATTTTTGCCACATCACCCAGCTCTACTTGGTGACTAAATACTGAAAAATTCCTACATTTTACTGCCTAATCAACACTCAAACTTGTCTGCTCATTCCTCCATAGTTTGGTTTATGACACTACTATAAAAATATGTAATGTAAAATCATAAACTCAACAACCTGCACGAGGACAGATAAGACGGATGCCTCATAACTTTTTTTAATCTTTTTATTATCACAGAAGCACAACAGGTACCACTATGCAAGTGTACATCAAAATGTTCAAACCACCAGGTTGGAAAAAAAAAATAAAGCTGAGAAGGAATGCTAGCTTCATGAGAGGAGCACAGCAAAACGGTTCCAAAAATGAGGTTCAAAGTTTGACTCACGAAACAGAAATAAAGAGGTAAAAGCAAAATAAAGAGGTAAAAGCACTTTGGATGTTACGCCTCCTCTTGACCTTCTGGCTTTGTACCAATTAGTTCGGCTGATTTTCTCGCAACTTGCTCTCAATTTGAAAACTGTCAAACGTGCCGTTGACCGGCACGCTGAGCTTCCACTGAGCTGCAAAGTACCACGAGGCCTCCGTTCCGAGGTAACAGCAAAGCGCTGGCTGTGACAACGTGTTTATTACCAATTTAACATCTTCAGACACACTAAAGGAGGACGAATTCACTTTAAACATACGAGCCAATTGAATTGCAGTGCTAACGTACCTGAAAGTGTAAACTGAATGACCTTTTGTACATTCAAGAGAAAGAAAACATTTTTTTCATCTACTTTCCATAAACAGACTGAGCGATAAAAAAAGAACACACTGATTGATACTTTATATGTGTGAGAATTGCAATATGCTCGTAATTCCCTTGCAGGATGATTCCCTCATAACAAGAATGTCGACACAACCGAAAGAGGAATGACACGGAAAGGAAGAGGAAGGAGTAAAGGATAAAAAGATGAGCCACACTAACATCGAAAAATACCGAAAAATCCAGCTGTATTTCAACACAAAAGCATGAGGAGAGAAGCGCTCACTTTAAAAGAGGGGTACGGGGTGGGGTGTATCACGTGGAGGGCAAAAGGTAGAGGAAAGAGGGAAAGAGGGAATTGTAGGAAGAGAGAATAAATGGAGTTTGGGGGGGGTTAAGTGAGGAGAGAAAGACGAAAGGGTGGAGGAGATGAGGGTGACGAAGGGGGCGCAGGTCTCGGGTCCGGAACTAATCTTCATCGGAAGAAGAATCCCTGTCGAAGTTGTAGGCCATGAAGAAAACGTCGGGTCGAGACGGGACGGGGGAATGGCCCGGATTCACAATCTCAAAGCCCAGAAAGCTGAACGTACGCACCAGCTTAGCTGCAGAGAGGAACGAGAGAAAAGGGGTTAAGAGCCTTTATGACTTACATATTCTGTACAGTGTAATATATTACAGCCTTTAGATATACTACATTCTTCAAAAAGAACGGTTCTTTAAAGAAAACGGTTCTATAAAGAACCTTGAACACTCAAAAACCCCTTGCATGCTTAAAATGTTCCTTTGCATGGTGAAATGGCTCATCAGATTGATGGAGAATGTGCTGTATGTATATACAACACATTCTCCATAAAATATTTCACCATACAAAGAACCATTTAAGCATGCAAGGGGTTCTCTGAGTGTTCAAGGTTCTACATAGAACAATTTTCATTATTAAAGAACCATCTTTTCAAGCGTGTACATGACATGCCCTAGTAGATTATAACCAGACTGGACATCCATCTGACACTATCTGACTGCTTTCGGTGGATTTGTGGGGGTGACTAATATTGGGAATCATACTGTACTCAACTTTTAAGTTGTTGCTGAACCGAACTTGCACGTTCTCCTGACGCACATAGACGAACGTGGAGCTGCTGCTGCCTTCGCTGACGCAGTAAATAAGCAGCAGGTAATCATGTTTAAGTGAGTGTAAAGGATGTAAAGATGAGTTTCAGAGTTCACTGAAAAGCTTTGCGTCATGTGAGAGACGTTCTGCCATTTTTCTTTGTTTACTTGCTCTGTTTTCTTCTTTCGTGCTCTCAGTTTTCATCGGCTGTTGGACGAGTCCCTTCAGATCAAGTCGCTGACCAGTTTACACCTTTACACTCAGTCGGTTTGGAAACACGATCGGGAATAAAAGAAATCTGAGTCTGCGCCGCTCACTTTACTCAATTCTCTCTCCCAGCTGTCGACTCTGACTGACCTAAAATCTGCAGACTAGAGCTGACCAGCACCGACTCGGCCAGACTGACAATCAGGGCTAAAATCAGGACCCAGAGATGCTGCACGATTTAAAAAATCTAATTCAACAAGTCATAATTACCTGCTGATAACCATCATCCAACTTTTTGTACCTTAGAATTAAAAAGGATGTTTTCACTTCTGTACATTTACGACTGATATGTAAATGACTGGCTGCCTCATTCAAAGACCAATCCAGACCGAAACACTCCTTATAACTTCAATGTAAGTGGGCGGAGCTAATCTGTAATGGGCTGAGTAGGTGGGCACATGCAAAGACAGAGGATATCACAAAACCAACGAAATCATAATGGGCTGTTTTTGCAGCTTAGTTTTCAAATCTTCAATTTAAAAAGAACTTTTTTTTTCATTTCTTTTCATCAAATGAGCTCTTCAACACCTTTTCAGTGTCCAACAATTTCACAATGTCCAACAATTTCACAATGTCCAACACAAACAAACGTGGCCTATTTTAATATTTTTGCTTTCAAGTTTTATTCAAATAGACTGGATAAAAACCAAACACTGATTAAAAGCTCTGAGATGCAGTTTATACCTGCTTAATTTCCGTATCTAGCTCCACTCACTGCTCACCCTTTCCCTTTTTTCCTTGAACAGCCTTTTTCAGTATGTTGGATGACTGATGTAGTTTAAATCCCTTGAATGGCCAAAAACCACCAGGGGGTCTAAACTTGACAACTTAGATTTTAGAAAGTTATAACTTAGAACATCTACTTGAATTGTAAAACATTTAGCTACTAAATAATAAACCTGGACTTGAAGGGTTAATATACATGTTAATTCTTTTCAATTTAATACAATGTAATCTTAACAGATAGGTATGCTTTTTGAATATAATAAAACAAAAGACAGATAGCTAGACGAGCAGAGAGTCTCTTTAAAACAACAGGTATGCAGTTAGCGCCACGCTAATTGGTGTACATAGTTTTGTATTACTTGTTAGCTTCATTAGCCTCATAGCTCCAGTGCTGAAACATAAACAGCAAACTAAAAATATTTCATTAAAATGAGTAATTTGAGACATACTTCATATAATAATCACTGGGGGAAATATACATAAACGTAGTAGTAATAATATTTAAACATACCACGATCGTCTCTGTTCTTGTAAAAGCAGACATACACACTGACGACTTTTAGATGTTCTTCAGCAAATTCCAGCAGGGAAGCAAAGCTGGTGGGAAACAAACACAGGCGTTAAGCACATGATGCATAAAAACATGTGTGGTCATGTTGACCAACACCATCCTGACAATTCACTCTCATTCTGTCCCACTTTTGCTGTCAGAACAAAACCTTGTACCAGTTTTTGACAATTTGAACCAAAAATGACCTGGAAAGACGTCTGGTTCCTTTGACTTACATTAAAAGTAAATTTATCATTCTGGAGATATGAGGTTTTATTCCGACAACAGCAAGATTTTGAATAAAAAAAAAAAAACCTGTTATTTAAGAAAATGAACAAAAATATGCTGTAAATCTCAGCAGCTTGAACTTCAGTCCATGTTCACAGATAAGTGTGTCGTACAATGTCAAAAATCACAAAAGACCATTAGAGACACAGTTTGAGACAACTGTGTGACGACTTTAGCACCACGCTAATCGGTGGGGTATAAACTAGGGGTGTGCGATATGGCAAAATTACAATATCAAGATACTTGAGAATGTTTTCATAACACACGTTACATATCAATATCAGGTTGTGGATGAGCGAAACAAATAACTTTGGTAAGTTAGCATAAAAAAAAAAAAGCCCAGTCAAAAACTATGAACATGATACAGTGGGCTCTATTCAACGTTTTACACCCTGCACTACCCACCCAATTAAACAAGACTAATTATGCATACTTTATAATGGCTTATATCCATGATATGCTTAGAAATGTCACAGTGATGTCACAGCATGCATCACAATAACGATAAAATATGGTCATACTGCCCACCCCTAGTATAAACTTCCATTATTTACTAACTACTTATTAGCAAGCTTCACTCCCAAAACATGTCTTAGCTAATGGCATCATGTGACGTTATCATGTGACATCCCCTCTGACCCCTGGAGCTGACCACTGACCACTCACCTCTCCTTGCTGCCCTCCGGGAGCGGGTCGTTAGGGATTTCGACGTACAGGCCGTCTCCGCGAAGCACCGCCTCCCAGTTTATCACCCGGGAGACGGTGGGCCGGCTCTGGAAGTGCAATATCCCGGGGCGACCAGCCCCAGCAGGCTGCTCCGTCACAGTCAACTTCCTGTCCTACTCAGAGAGAGAGAGAGAGAGAGAGAGAGAGAGAGAGAGAGAGAGAGAGAGAGAGAGAGAGAGAGAGATTAGGGCTACACAATACAGACAGAAAATTTGTGTATTAGTGCGTAATATTAATAAATTAGGGTTAGTGATTGCAAAGGGCTCTTTGAGTGTTCATGGGTCGATATAGAAGCACCTTCTTTACTAAAGAACCCTCAAGAAACCAGCTTTAAGAGTGAAGGATGAGGAGCTTCTTGTACTTATCTAAACCAGTCCACTCTGCGGCTACAACTAGTAAAAATTTTAAATTTTAAAACTTTATTTTAATAATTCAAATATTCTTTGGGAAGCAAATCCTGGCACATTTTTTGACCGTAAACTGACAGTCAAACCAGCAAACCTAGAATCAATTACACTCTTAAAAAAAGATGTTTTTTCAAAAGGTTGTTTAGTGAAGAAAATGGTTCTATATAGAACCATGAACACTCAAAGAACCCTTTGCATGATCTTTGCAGGTCTGAATGACTTCACATCTCAACAACTGAATTACGCAGAAATTTCATCTTTTAACGTCAAAGTCCAGCCGATCCGGTAACTGCCCGTTGCTAGTGACAAGCTAGAATGTAGCCTATTAAACAAACGTTTACCCACAAAGTGCAGGGTTTCGAATGGCTTTACTAGTTTCAAACTATGTTATAAAATCAGCTCTAGAAGAAAATCAGAAGCCGCTTCCAATTCCGGTTCCAGAAAGTTCTCCTTACAGCAGCACGTTTCCTGAAACTACTGTTTACTTTCACTTTAACCTGCTAGAAGCTCTCGGCTCTGCGCACAAGAGCACACAGGCCTGCATATAAACAATGAACAGCTTGTTGAGGCCTCAGAGTGTGTGAGTGAGTGTGTGTGTGGGCGTCCTGTGCGCTCTGATACCACAAGGTCATGTGATAGGATGTAGCCTGCAGTGTGTGAGCTGCAGACTGACCTACAAGAAGTTTCCACCTTTGTTCACAGACTGACAGTCAGAAATAACTAAATAACAATTAAAACGTTTCTTTAAACTTTTTCACAAGACAAACTACATATAAGAGGCTGTGAACTGAAATTCTATACTTTTATGGTACCAACTGAAGACTGGATTACTGAAAAATTAGTCGTTCGGCTTTATATTCCTGAGTAGTCAGTCTTATGAGCATCTGTGAGCTTCCAAAATCTAGACTGCTGATTGGCTGCCTAATATACATGCCAACATGGCGGTGGCAGCTCTATGTAAATTAAATTACCCTGCAGGCTGCTGCGGTTAGTAAATACAGTCACTTCCTGCACTTCACACTCTCTTCTGGTATGAACCACACCCACTTTTACTTCATGTCCCATATACAAGTTAAATCAAATACGCGAAGGCCATATTTGTGTTACTCTTTCGGTCAAATAAGTGAAAATATGTTGACGTCTCCCCTGCAGAGGGGATACTTTTGCATATTTTAATGCTCAATTAGTGTTTATTTCATGGATTTTAACATATTTTGGGGGAAAAAAATGATAAATAAATGTGGCCAAAACATTACGGCACGTTATAGTTTCTGTTTTATTTTATTGCAGCAAATAAATAGAAATTTTGCACTAAAATTTGCAGAAAAATGCCAAATTCACAGTTTTGCTGGAGGAAGATGTGTCATGTTATTTCATCTTATTTTAGTGTAACTTCATTAAAACATGTAATTTGACCAAAGACACATACACAAACAAAATTAGGCATGTAAACAAACTTTGATAATCTCAGCAGTCAGTGAGTTTTTGCCTTTAAACACATTGAATAGTAGCAAAATAGCTACAAATATACAGTAAAAGCAAACTAAAATCAATGTTCTCAAAATACTTAGTGTGTTGAAGTAGACTGTAAAAATGGCTCATCAATTCAACCTAAAATAATGACTTCATGTGGTAACAAACAAATGAATTAGTTTTATTCAACACATAAAATGACACTGATTGAAAGAATCAATCAAAGCACTCATTTAGATTAAACAAAACTAGTTCTTTACTTGTTACCAAATGAATTGATGAGCCATTTTTTACAGTGTAGTTAGAAAATAAGGATTTGTTTGGAAAAACACAAAGAATTTTGGGTACTGAGGTGAAGGTTAGGGCTGGGTTTACGTGTAGGTGTGTTATTTGGCTACAGTAATACAAAAATCAGCAGAAATCAATTAAGTCCTCACTAGCAATGCAAGACAAACGCGTGTGAACTCACTGAGTACAGCGGCCGAGCTGTGGGAGGGTGATCCCGTGTGCCATTCCCTCGCCCACCTGGGATCTTCAGGGGTGGGAGAGGGGCATCAGGAGCACCACAGAGGCCCGGGTCCAGGGGTACTACTACAGCGTAGAGACAGACTGCAACACATACACACAAACAGAAGAGTTATTAAACATCTGTCACAACAAACATTCATCATCTTCGCTGCATCGATGCTACTGATATAATCTGGCTGCTAAAAAAGGCCTCGGTACAGAAAGTCCTGTAATTATCTGGGCATCTCATCTCATCTCGGTCTCGAGGCAGCCGCATAACACTGAAAAGGGGACGGGTGGCAAGACGGTATTTGTGATTAAGATAATCTGGCCTGGCTTGTAAAATGTCAAACAAATTCTTATCTAGGCTGCAGTACATAACTATGACTGCATTTGGCATATTTAACTGCTTCAGGTGTTGGACTGTGAGGTGATGTAGCTCAAGGCCTGATCCTGAACCCAATAAAACCACACACCATCATGAAGCAGCTGGACGTGACGCACTGAACGAACCATTTATTGCGCAATAAACCTGGACATGCATGCAAGTCTGGGAACATGTGAACCAAATTACACCCATTTTAACTACAAGAAGAGCTGGGCAATATGGCCAAAAATGTTATCACGATAAACGAAATTTATATTGTTCGATATCGATACATATCGCGATAAATGTCAAATCATTATTTCTTTCAAGTTTGAAGGCTGACTTTTGCTACAGGGGGGTTAATTGCTGTTTTAAACTATTCTTTATGGTCTGAACACGACAAACACTCACCAATTCACAGATCTGTCATGGGAGAGTGGGAGAAAGTGTCTGCTGAGCTGTTTTTACCAGCTGGAAAAGCACGGCTATTTTGTAATAGTCATAATTTAAGAAAGAAAACAGATTATTTTTAGCTGGTGCCGAGCGCTCGGCTACCCCGCTACACGACAGCACAGTATTCAGACACCAGCTAGCGATGACAGGGTTTCTCTATACTATCACAGTAGTTTAAGGGGTGAACCGCAAAATATCAACACCAGACAAACAGAGTCCTCCTTTTAGGTACGTTTAAACTGAAAGCGGTGCTTTTGTGTCTTGTTTGATCTACAGTATCATCAATTCGCCGTGCTGTGTGAGTGACAGTGAGCTGCTTCAAGTTAGCCAGCTGATAAAAACAGCTAGCCTGGAAAGCTAGCGCTCTCCCGCTCTCCACTGCCTCACAGCTTCCTCAGTTTACTGTCATTTAAATCAGGGCTGTAATTTAACAGCGCTGTAGTTGTGAGAATTGTGATTTAACGCTGCTAAAGCTGTTAGGATGTACAGAAAGAGGTGAGTTCACTGTAGGTCAGTACAGTTACACCACTGACCTCGTCACTCACACTCGGTCACAGGAGAACAGATCGCCGGTCGCTCCACTCAGACAGGGACTGTATAACTCCGCGTTTCAGCCGTTGCTAAAGACTCATCTTACTCGTGTCCCCCTCCCTCTCTAATCATGTAGAAAAACTCGGAAGTGCGCCCTCTCCTGGTGACAGCAGAGTAGTGTCGCTTTCCTTGCAGTAGAAAACGCCTCCAGGGCTTTCGCTGAACGTGGAAGTGTGAGAACGGTGTATTATATTATAACATTTATCGAACATGTCGTATCACTCTATCGAGGAAAAGTTATATCGTGATAATTATCGTTATTGTTTTATCGCCCAGCCCTAACTACGAGTTAGAACGTCTGGTGAAAAATATGTGCCAAATCACGTGTTTAGACTACACAAAACTGAACCGGTTGTTTAACAGTCTGGAAATACTTTAAATCTATAATTGTAAGCCAACATTCAAAAAACTAAACCAAATCATACCAGTTGAAACAACAGCCATCAGTGATGAACAGCTAACAAACTCTGAAGTAGGTAACTCTGACATCACTGCGAGGAACTTGAGCTGGGTGTTATGGCAAAAACGTAACATCACAACACTTCAAAAAAGTTATTATACCTGATATTATACAATATTTTACAATAACGCCTAATAAGTAGAAACAAACAAAACAGCTCCACGTTTCAAAACGAACTATGTACTGACTATTACTTTAAAGCAATTATTCTCAATCAACATTCCTCTAAATCTCATCAAACAGGTCTAACTGTGCTCTCTGTAATCAAACATGTAGCTGGGAGGTGGTTTTAAATACTGACGATATCCATGATATGCTCAGAAAAGCATACTGCGACATACTGAGGATCACAGTAACGTCAAAGATCATACTGTCCAGCCCTACTTGAGATACTATGATGCAACAGTGAACAACTGTGTCATTTAACTGTATTATGAAAAGCGAAAACACTTATTTAATAAAGAAAAACGGTTTTTGAAACAAAAAAAACTCATTTTTATTTAGCTGCAATAAACAATGTAATAAGTAAACATTACAATACTAGTAAACAACAATAAGTTTAAATCTGTGCAACCACAGAATGGAAATAACTGAACTCCAGTTAAAAACTAATACCGATGAGGTCATATTTAACTGAAATGTGTCTAATTCACACTTGCGTGATCATGACGTCATCGCTGTAACTCGGGGCTATTGTGACGCATCACTGAAAACAACGGCGGCGTCACAGCGGATGACGCGGAAACATTTCCATTAAACGCCTGTTTTAGGCTAACGTTATAAAAACTTCACACGTAAATAAAGCACCACCTTAGCAACCACCTGGGATAGCACAGCATACAGAAATGAATCCACATCACATTAAATATTTGACAAGAAAATAAAATTAAATCGACACTTGAACCGTCTTTAAACAGACGCCACAGTTAGCTTAGCTAAGCTAAGCTAATAGGCCTTTTAAATTCACGGGAGCCCGACGTCGCTTAGCCTGCTTCGCCGTTTCACTGCCGAAGGAAAGACTCTCCGTTAGCGCTCGATGTCATGACTCTGTGACCTGTTCGGTACACCTGCACAGGTGTAAATTACACTACAGCCCCTCTGATGTTGGTTTATTTTAGTAGTTTTCCGTAATCTTTGACAGCAACTAGCTCGCTGGCTAGTTAGCTAACGTTAGCATGTTGCTAAGGAACAGAAACCGCGCTGACTCGATCAGTAAAATGAAATAAAAAAACAACCCAACATGAATATTAACATGTTAAATGCTTATTTAAAGCGTTTTAAACAGCAATTATACAGGCAAGTGTTACAGAAAGCGAGATACAGATGAGCGTGAGCTAAGCTAAGCTAGGCTAACGAGGCTTCCGGGTCGAATTTTCCCGTTCCACCTTAAATAGTGCCGCAGTTACTGTTGCACCTTTTAAGGTGGAACGGGGAAATTCGACCAGGAAGCTGACTTCAGCTTCGTGATTAGTTAAGCAATGATAGGCCAGGCTAAGCTAAACTATGCTAAGCTAAGCTAACCCTTCCCCCCACCAGCTTATCTTTTCCACTTACTTGCCAATCATGTCACAGATATTACTACTACTTCTTAAAGCGTCCATCTCGGGTTGGTTTTGCCTTTTTCCTTCTTTTTCGCGAGCAAAGCAGTGACTGTTCAGGATCCGCTGGAGGTTAGATTTGACCATCCGGCCCGGGGGACGTTTCACGGCCGCCTCACTCTGCTCTCGTCTCGACTACGAAGTGAAAAACTAAGCCGCTGTAGCATCGCGTTATGTGGCTCTTTGTTTACACCCGTTTTCAGCCATATGACCGCCTATCCTGTGCTGGGATTGGCCAGAGGGACTAAACGGCAGGCCATAGGGCGGACTACTTGTCAGTACGAAACGCTAGCCAATCGTAGCACGGGAGGCGAGCGGATACTAGCCAATCGCAGAGAAGAAGGGGCGGGACATGCCGTGGTACAGGTGGAAAAGAAAATTAAAGCTACGCAGCAGACAGAGAAAATGAAAACACAACAAGCTGCAGAAGTGAAAAGGATCCGTGGGGGCGGCGTTGTAGCTAATGGAAAATTACTGAAACCCTGCAGAAAACAACGGAGGAAATGAGAAAGCTGTGTGTTTATTTTGAACCAAACCCCGTCTCACACGATCACGTTTCAAAAGTGTTGAGTTTTTTTTAGATTTTTGAACGGCTGCTCAAAAACAACAACAGCCAATTGTGTGTGTACATATATATATATATATATATATATATATATATATATATATATATATATATATATAGTGTCTTTACTAAGATATCTTGATTGTGTGAACCTGATCAGAAACGCTTGCCCTATTGTACGTCTAGATAGATAGATAGATAGATAGATACTTTATTGACCCCGAAGGAAATTTAGCAGCCAGTATCAGTCACACAACACAGGACAGTAATAATAATAAGGGTGAAACAACATAAAAGAATAAATATAAAAAAAATCCCATCTACAGGCATAGATACAACTAGAAATATACAAAAATCTGGAATAAGATCTATAACCTGAGATGAAAAAGGCAGTGCAATAAAATGACTGTACAAGGAGGCGCAGGTAACAGAATGCAGAATTAGACTGCAGAATAAGCTTTATACTGAACTACAGAACTAGTTGAAGGTCTTTTAAGATGGCTGGGTTCCCAGACCCTGATTAAGCCTAAGCTTAGACTAAATACAGTTTTATTTAGCCCAGTACATTGTTTCAATCAAGGATGCACACATACATCAGCTCTCCTGAGGTTTGTGCCCCGTTACCCAAACGTCCTTCTCTTTTCATTTTTCTTTATGTAACGTAGGTCAAAGTACACTGACATGAGCAGCGTGAGCGACGTGACTGGACATCTTCGCCTGTCTGAAGACCAGCTGAGTTTTTACACTGTCTGTCATTGATTATATCCCTTAACCATAAGCCGTCTGTCTGATGGGCCTCATCTGTGATAATCATTTACCGCACAGTGTGAGGCGAACAGATCAGCAGATTAGATATCAGACAGAGTGTCAGAGTGGATGGGAGGTAAACACTGTCTCTACTGGGTCTCTATTGTCCAACTGTTTCTTAGTTTGTTTGTCCAAACAGCATTTTTCAACTCCAGTCCTAAAACAAAAGGTCTGTGATTGTTTTCTACGGTAAAAAGCAAGTGATTTATCATGCTCAAAATGCAGCCCCTCCTGTCCCACTTTTGAAAATCCGTTTTTTGTCCCCTTCCCCACTTTTTAAACTCCAGTTTTTGTTCAGTCCCCTGTCTAACTTTTCAAAATCCAGTGTTTGTCCCCTCCCCATATTCTGAAAATCCATTTTTTTTGTCCCCTTCCCCACTTTTGAAAATCCAGTTTTCGTCCCCTTCCCCACTTTTCAAAATCCAGTGTTTGTCCCCTCCCCATATTCTAAAAATCAATTTTTTTGTCCCCTTCCCCACTTTTGAAAATCCAGTTTTTGTCCCCTTCCCCACTTTTGAAAATCCAGTTTTTTGTCCCCTTCCCCACTTTTGAAAATACAGTTTTGTCCCCTTCCCCACTTTTGAAAATACAGTGTTTTGGTCTACCCCATTTTAAAAATCCTGGGGGTTCTGTGAATGTGAGACCTGATACGTCCACAGAGTAGAAGATTCCCTAAAGCCAAACATAAAGCAGCCCAGGTTAAAGAAAAAAAAGAAGTTGATTCATCCTTGATGGCAGTGATCTGCAAACTGTCACTGAAGGTAATTAATAAATACATAAATTAACAAAATATTATCCATACCTGTCGCAGAAGCATTTTTTTGGCTGGGATACTTCACAGTTTGTTTTTTAATGTTTGTCAGTTTTTTTCTGTCTTTATGTACATTTCAGCTGTTCTGATTTTAATTTTGTTGTCGTCATTGGGGTAAACGCGTTGGTCGTGAATCTGCGTTCCCACTAGTGTGTGTGTGTAATCTTGCACAAGGTAGGTATTTCTAATAAAGTGGCCAGTGAGTGGAAGCACAAAGTAGGTGTTTCTAATAAAGTGGCCAGTGAGTGGAAGCACAAGGTGGGTGTTTCTAATAAAGTGGCCAGACAGTTAAAGTACAGATTAGATGTTTCTGATAAAGCGTCCAGTGAGTGCAGCTGCTAGTATTTGTGAGCTTGTGTCTCCCCCTGCTGGTTGTGCTGCAAATTGCCTACAATTTTAAAGCGACCACCAGATGGCAGTATTGCCTAGAGATACAAAGCGCCATCTCTAAATTTGTTTGGTCATTGGTGTCTTAGTGTTATTTTTGCAGAGCATTGCAGGAGTTGATTTATCTGACAACAGCATGTCATTAATTTATTAAAAGCTGCTGCAGCTACTTTTATTGGAGGAAAAACTGCCTCTGTATAACAAACAGATCCTATCAGAGAACCTGTAGTAGAAAATATTTGGTACTTTCTGAGCACCAAAACCAGCTTCTGTGATCGGCTACTTCCCATTTAATGGCACAAACTTAGCTCATATTCTCAGAAGCTGTATGCCTACCAACATCACTCAACTGCTGACTTTCATTTTCAGCGTGTATGTATTATTTTAGTTTTGTGCAAAATGGAGAAGTGAAACACGGAAGACGAATTCAACCACTTCCTCTGCTGCAGCACATTTACATTACAGTCTTAAAGAGAAAACTTGGCCAAAAGCCAAATTTACTAGTTTTTCTAGCCTTACCCCCAAGTGTAGTCGATTAGCCAAGATGTGTTTGTTGTCTGAAGTTTGCTCCTTTAACACTGGAACTACGAGGCTAATGTAGTTAGCAAGTAATGGAAGCTTATTTGCATTAGCCAGTTATCATGGTGCTAACTACATGCCTAATCATTACATACTTGCCTCAAGCCGCGTGGCGATAGACTTGATTATGTGGGTTCTGACTCTGTATGACGTTGAGCCTCATTCTCCAGTATCTTCCTAAGTCTGTTCTTAAATGTGTTCTTGAGAAAGATCCTAAGAAAAAGTCTCCGTCAGATTCATGACGTGTTCTTAAAGTGCAGAACTGTTCTCTCCTTTGTGCTCTTGAGTGTGTAGATTCTGTTCTTACCTAAGAACAAACCCCACATAAGAGAACACTGGTGAATGACAGAGTCTTCGCCAAAATTGCTTAAGTGGGTTTTAAGAAGGAATTTCTTCTTAAGAGTGGTTGGTGAATGAGGCCCATTCTTCTTATTATCATTGAGTGCCATCAAATCAATTCTGACTCCTGGTGACCGTTTGGACAGCGTTCTTCCAGAATGTTCCGTCTTCTGTTTGGGTCTTCAGGCTTCTGAATGGCTGCTTCATGACTCCTCTGGTTGTCTCCATTCATCTTGTAACTGGTCGTCGTCTTTTACCAACTGTTCCAAGCATGACTGTTGTAACTAATGAACTGGTTCTTTTCAGAATGCATCCACTTCAGTTCGGTTCTCTGGGCTCTGACCGAGAGGTGAGGCTCGATTTGGTTTGGGATCTGTTCGTATGTTTTCGTTGCCGTCCAAGTTTCTCTCAAAAGTCTTCACCAACACCAAAGTTCAGAGGGGTCAGTATTTTTCCTGTCCCACTTGTTTACCGTCCAGCTCTCACACCCATAAAGAACGACAGTGAAGACCACAGCCTGGACAGTTCTGGTCTGTGTTTGTAGAGACTAATCGCTGAATCTGAAGATCTTTTCAGGCTCCTTCATCCTTGTTCTGCTGAGAGCTGATCTGGGTCGTATTTCTTGTGGATCCTCTGTTGTTAATAACTGATCTGAGTAGCCAAAGCTGTCCATCGTCTCCAAACCTCTCCATCAGTGGTAAAGTTAGGGTTTTTCCTGTCATCATAACCTCAGTCTTCTTCATATTGAGCTGAAGTCCCATCTTTTCACTCTGTTCTTCAGCCTTCCTTATAAGGGCCTTCAGGTCTTCCAGATGTTCCGTTATGTCTGTCATATCATCTGCAAATAGAAGGTTATTTATGTTTGTTCCACTGGTCCCAAATGCTAGATCATCTTATCTAGTTCCTCTAGTCTCTGTATATGTTCTGCATACAGGTCAAACGGGTATGGTGAAGGTGGGCAGCCTTGTCGAACTCTTTTGCCGATGTGGAACCAGTCCGTCCATTTTCTGTCCTGACTGTGGCTTGTTGATCAGAGTACAGGTTCCTCACTAGAACAATAAGATGGTCTAGTACATTGTTTCTCAACTCTGTTCTTGAAGGCCCACTGTCCTGCAATTTTTAGTGTTTTCCTGCCTCAAACACACACCTGATCCAACTAATCAGTACATTAACAGCCTGTTACTGAGTTAACCCCTTAAATGGCCAGAGCACCTAAGAATAGCTCAGCCAGTTTGCATTGTAGTCCACATAATTACTGAATAATAAGCCTCAGTATGTAAAAAGTCTGGGGTTAAAGTGGCAGGAAAAGCACTAAAGTGTGCACTTTTTGAAGCCATTCAGATACATTTACATGGTTAATAACACAGAAAGTCAAACTCTATGACAAGCTGTTATATATAAACATATAAACACGGACAAAAGTATGGAACAAATTCAGGTTTTAAGGTGGCTGCTACAGCTTTTAACTACACACTTTAAAATGATGGTTCTTTAAGGGCTCTTCTGTAAATAAAATGGTTTCTTATAGAACCACGAACATTCAAAGAACTTCCAATGATTAAAGGGTTCTTTGCATCATGAAAGAGTTCTTCAGATTGCTGGAGAATGTAGATAGTCCTTTTTGAAAAGGAATGTTATAGCACCAAAAAGGGTTCTACTATTGTTACGATATCAAG